GTATATGTATATGTATATGTATATGTATATGTATATGTATATGTATATGTATATGTATATGTATATGTACATGTATCTTACTGTGGAATACTACTCACCAATAAAGAAATTAATACTTCTGGGACTGGAAAGGATTATATTAAGCAAAAAAAAAAAATTTAGAAGACAAATACTGTATGGTTTTACTTATATGTAGTATAAAGAAATAAAGGAGCTGACAAAACCACATCAATAACAGACCCTAGAGGTCTGGTGTAGAATTGAGGGTAACAGAGGGGGAGTGGAGGGCAGGTAGAGGGTGCACATTGGACTGTGATAGAGATCCATGGGTGCCAGGATGGTGGTGTGTTGTGATGTCAAATGCCTGAAGAGATGTGATCCTATACCTCTGTGTTGTGTGCAGTGTTGCAAACCAGTGTTACCTCAATAAAAAAAAAAGTCATAGTTTTTGTTTTTCTGGTTATCTATTTTTGGGTGGTGTTTTGTCCTTTTTGTTTGTTTTCTTTTTCTTTAACCACTGCTAAATGTAATCTAATGAAACTTTAATAACTATTTTAGCATTCAGAAAGTGCCTCCTTGTTAAACACTTTTAATGCTTTAATGATTCCCTCTATAGGTTGTTACTACCAAGAATACGTCTGTAAAACAACACATAATTATTCATTATGAGGATTTATTACGACAAGATTACATGTCAGGCACTGGAATATCGGTAAGACAATACATATGTCAAAGGAGTGGTTTTATGGACACAAGTGGAGATTTTTAAATATTTTCTCCTGCATACTTTTCATTCTAGCTACTTGATAATCACTGAGCCCTCTCTCTTTCACAAACTTAATTTTAATACTTGTATTTGACCCATAATTGCCTGACTATGAAAATTTCAACATATAATCAATATAAAAAGAATTAGAGATAATTTGCTTTAATTTTTATACTAAAATATTCAAAATATAATTTTTATTTTATTCATACTTATAAGTACATCTTGGACTGGACTGCCACGTTTCAAAGGTTCACTAACCACTTGTGGCTGGAGGCTGCCACATTCAAGAGCTTGGGCCTGAATCTTTGTCCTGGAAACCTTAACTCTGTATTTGGTCTAGCCTCACTACGAAAGTCCAGTATTTCCTGGGTCTGTTCAATGAACTCTCCTTACTCTGGTTGACTGAAATGTCAACATAGACCCCATGTCAGTTCTGGAAATTATTTTACCATACCTCACCAAATAGTTTTCAGTACCTGTCTCTCAGAGTCCT